CCCCCCTCTGCCCCCCTCCTCTATATGAATGGTTAAAACATTATGTTAAAAGCTGCGCTGATCAATAACCCGACTACAGTAACGAAAACATTTATCAAAATGAGGGGGTTTATTTTGTCTGAGTGTGTAAGTGTGCTTTTGGTTGTGTGTCTGAGTGTGTGTGTGTTTAGTTTGACTTATGAGCTCTCTGGGAGCCAGTGAATGTGACATCTGTCTAATGTTCAGCCAAAGACACAAAAGAGGCTTCAACCACCTAAACACTGGTGCACTGGGAGATAGGTGTGTGTGTGTGTGTGTCTGTGCCTCTCACGGTCTTTTAGAGTTGGTGTATGTGTGTGTGTGTGTGCGCACTAAATGCGCAGGTGTGATGGGCAGCTCTATAGCTTCTCCAGTGCTATTAAAGCTCTACAATCTCCTTCATACCAGACATAAATGTTTGGGTTTGTTTTTGGGTTTGCAAAGTGAAACTGTGCTGGTAGCTGATTACCACTAGGGGGCGACTGCACTAATTAATGTTATAACTGAGTAAATTGAATATTTACTTGTTATGTAAAGGTGATAATAGAACATGGCGTCTTTAACTTTATGGACTGAGTTTGTTCTGATGAACTTTTTATTAGCTTTTAGCCTGTTAGCTTTCAGGAGTTTCCAGGTTAACCTTTAACTATTCTCTTGTCTAAGTTGTAAAAAATTGTAAATATTATTAGCTCAAACATATCTTAAATATCTCATAAAATATAACATCTCCTAAACGTTGTATACAGTTTGAAAATGAATGTTGAATTAAAGACATTTATATAAATGTTTATTACTGATCTCTCCAGGGCCAAAATACATAACGTCTCGTTTCAGAGTGTGAGCACAGTTTCCACTCAGGCCCTTGTGTTTAAAAATGTAAATAAATGGGGAGAGAAAAAAAAAACTAAAGATGAATCAGACAGAGAGAAAAGTGAAATCAGGTCAGGAAAGAAAAACTAGTCTGGGAATTAAACACGATGAGAAAAAGACGTCCGCTGTTGTTTCTGAAGACAGTTATTGATCCACGCTCACGCTGATGGACGGACTCGGAGTTTGTCTTCGGTCCACAGTAGGCTCCTGGTCCCGCTGAGACGCCGTCCCCGCCCCCTCCAGGCTCTATTTCTGTAGCACCACATTATCCTCCCCATGGTATAAATCACTGGGACGCAGCTGGTGAAAAGAACATGACTTAGCACTGTTCACCGACAAGTGTCTGAATCACAGCCAACGTGACTCTGTCGTCCTGTTCCCAAACACAGCCCAGTAATGAGCAGCTTCCACAGTGCTTTCACTGGGATTTTTACCGACAACTGCTGCCTGACTGTTCACTCAACTGGAGAAAAATGTCGATTAAAGGAGGAGTTCAGATTTTCTGGAGTGGGGTGGTCAAAGACCACCCTGAGACCCAGGAACTGCTCCACTGTGGAAACACTAAGGACATAATATATAAAAATATTAACATTAACTGCTTTATCTCAGACACTCTTTTACTACTGAAAGGTTAAGGTTCTTAAAACTAAAGTTAAACTCATTTTTGGTGCATTAAAAAACATAGAAGCTGCTGGTCCACTGCTGCCTCTTGTGGTCAGGTTTTGCAAATGAGACAACAAAAATGTTTTTGTATAATTCTAATCTAAATTTAAAATCTGAAAATACTGAATGGGAGGGGGTGCAGCAGCACATCAACTCCCCAGTGTTTATCCACCGTATTTAATTGACTTTCTTTACTTGAATTAAATGTATTTTTTGGTTTCTACTTCAGATGATTGTTTATTTACATCACAGTCCTCCAGATGTTGATCCACTGCAGCGCCTCTCTGTCAGCTTAGATGTCTTATTGTTTTTCTTTCATTCAATTCTTCATTTCAATATTCTTCAGGGACTCAAAGCAACCACACGAGGCAGCGGTAGACGAGCAGCTCCAGTGTCATTATGAGCTGAAATCCATGATTTTTCTCTGTGGAGTTTGTTATGGCAAATTGTTTTTGTTCAAGAAGCAACACAGACTCTATCGTCCGGTTATAAAGGACTGTGTTACAGTAAGATAGAGGTGCAAAGCAATATTTCATCTCGAAATGGTCGCACACCTACACAAACATACCTTCGGATGGGATATAAAATATCTGCCATTAAAGCCTCGTAAATGTTACACACTGGACACTTAACCTTTTAAATGGGCCGTGGATCTGCTCCAAAGATGGCTCTGAGACGGCGAGCAGCTTCACCGGCTCCAGGACCATCGTTTGTGTTCAACTCCAGAAGAGTCTCAGAGTCTGAATGCCTCTTTGGAGAATTCCATGTGTAGTTTTAGTTATGTGTGCGGCTCTAATGTGCTGCTGTCTGAGAGCCGGATCACTTCCTCTGTGTGTGTGTCTGTGTGTGTGTTTGGAGAAGAGGGGCCGAGGTTTTCAATTACCAGTCTGTTTACGATCCGACCTCACCTGTGTGTTGTGCGTCAACAAAGGGCGAAAAAATTAGGATTGAGAGACTTAACAAATTAGAGATTAAATGATCGTCTTCAGTTTTTCTACATGTTTGTTGATAACTTATACTTTTAGTTCATTATCGTCTCGCTCTCCCACCAAAGTCCATTTAGAAAACTATTGATTTTTACCTTGCAGGTACAGAGGAGCTAACAGGCCATATTGCTGCTGTAGTCCATTGTTTCATTGACATACTTTCAAAATTCAAGTGAAAGGCTTTGCACTCCAACATGGGAGAGTGGTGCCTTATGTTGATGAGTCTATCAGACTGTACCTTTAAATTCATATTAAAACACCAAATATACTGATTTGTTCAGTAAGTGTGAGTTTAACCCAGTGACCTTGGACATGAATGTTTGCTTAAACTCTTCTTGGTTATGTCTACATGTCTGGAAAATCTTCTCTGCACGTGTGTGTGTGCGTGCGTGTGTGTGTGCGCGCAGTGTAATCAGCCATAGTTTGGATGCTCCAATGACAACACACCGGAGGTGACTCTGTTATTAGTGTGTCTGTGAATGTGGTGGTCAATGTGACACAAACACACACATACATACACACTCTCTTCGTTTCCCAGCAGAGACAGCACAAAACAAGTCTCCCCCGGCAACCAGCAGTGGGATACGGTTGCTATAGTGATTCTAAGTACTGGCTTCCTCCTGGACTGGAGTTTACCTGAGTGTCATAATTACTGACTCTCTCTGTGTGTGTGTGAGTGTGTGAGTGTGTGTGTGGTTTGCATTAGGACTGCGAGGACAAGTTTAGATTCCTAGTCCTCACTGTCCTAATGAAGACATATTCGGTGTGAGCAGATGTCACTGCTCTTCCCAAACTGAAGGTTTGTGAAGGAACGGTAACAGGAAGTTTATGGAGTTTAGGTCCAAATGATTGTCTCCCATAAGGAGTGGCCCCTGTTTGAATGTGAAAGTATTTTGGGCAAAAACAACAAAAACTGAGCTAAGACTTGATTCAAATGAATTGTTAGTATTCCAGTGGACTGGACTCCACCAAAAGTTTCCAAAAGTGGATGAGAAGTTTTACCGAGAGGGTCGAGAATTTGACAGTTAAGAGTTAAATTAAATCAGATAGAAAAACCCAAGATTATAAAAACATTGGAAAAACTATCTATGAAGTAAGTACTACAGTAACTGACTGTGAGTCAGAGGAGTGAAGTCTGGAGCTAAAGAAAGATGACACAGACTGGAAGATAATTGCAGTTAGATGAAGGGGGAGGAAAAGTGGGGGAGTCGTCTGGAGATGGAACCAGGAACCCCATCAGTCAGGAACATGAAGGAGTCTAGTTTAGGTTTTTGTCTGATGAACTCTAGTCCACTGATTCCCAACCACTGTGTCGTGGTTCACCGTGTGTGTCATCAGGAGTGACGTGGGAAATTATTCAATTTCACTTTCCTCGTCAAAGCATGAAAGGCAGAACAATTATATCTTCTTCTGCTAGGTGGCAGTAGAGGGCTAAAAGAAAAAAGTTAATCAGAGCTGTTGAAGAAGATCTTTGTGTCTTTCTTCAATTCCTGCCAGTATATCAGTGTTTTTTTTTTTTTCAACTAAACAGGCAGAGATTTTAGTCAATTATGAGGTCATTTAAATTAGAGGATTATTATATTTGATTACATATATTTTTTGTGAGATTTTTTTTTGGTGATGTGTTGTGATATTTACAGTAGGTGCCGTGGCTCAAAAAAGGTTGGGAAACACTGCACTATTCACCGTGTGTGTGTGTGTGTGTGTTGGGAGGGAGCACACCTAAAGTAGCATCTCTCCATTAACACAGTGTTATGTGTTTGAAAGAGATAACTGCTGTCTTTGACACTCCAACACCTTCACACACACAAACACACACACACACACTCACTTACAGTCAACCCATCACACACACTTCACATCCACTTACTCACATGCCTCCATGTTGACTCACCTGCCTTGATATGGATTGGAGTGGAGTGTGTGTGTGTGTGTGTGTTAATAATCTAATAGCAGCTGCTGTATTTACAGGATTTTACCTCCTCATTGAATTCTCATCGACTTCTTTTACCATAACGTTTGTATCAGAGGCTCCACCAGACTCTGCTCCCGTGCTGTAAACCTCAGCTCTTCATGACATCACAGCATGTTGCCTGGCTTCATCTTGACTCATTTTCAACACGACTTTCGTAAATAATACAAGTTAAAGCTAAGTTTTGGCTGCCGTAATGTTCGGATAAAGAGAGGGTAAAGATAATTGTTGCGCTCATATCAACGTCAGTTACAGTAATGTAAACCCATTTCCTGCTCGACAGGTATTATTAGCCGCTCTGATGTTTCCTTACAACTCCACTCTCTCCTTAGGTTATTGATCATGTGATTACAATTGATCAGTGTCAGAAGTGAAATGCTTGGATAAGCAGTTTACGCTGCAATTGTTTTTGTACGGCACGGCCTGTTTACGGCTAACATGTGCCTAGGAGGAGCGCTTTCATTGTGCTAAAGCTGGAAAGGTCCCGTAAGTGTTTATGACGATGAAAGGAATCTGTCGCCACTGAATGCTCATGTTGCGTTGCATTTTTCTAGTGTTTTGTCGCTCATTTAGCAAAGTCCCCTGAGAAGCTTCTCCTCGCAGCCACTTGCGTTAGCTCATCCTGGAAGAATGCTTCTAAGCCAGGAGGGAGATCCGATCCCTCAAGTATGTCCTTGGTGTTCTCAGGGTCTATTCCCAGATTGGTTATGATTGAAATACCCTCCCAGGAAGGTGGTGAGGAGGCATCTTGACCCGGTGCCCTCCCTACCCCAAGTGGCTCCTCTTCCCCTAAATGTCTCAGCTCCTAACAAAGGCCAGGCCCATCAGAGAAGCCTATTCTGGCCTGACTTAACAGTTGAAGTATGGTGGAAATATAGACGGACCTGCAAATTGAGATATTTGCCCCAACGTTCAACTCTGTCTTCACTAGAACGGACTGTGACTTTATCCAAATTACTGCTGATGCTTTCACTCTCTGTCTGTTTCACTACCAACTCATTTTTTCTGTCATTTCTAAATGAGACCCTGGCATACTGTATTTAAACTTTCTCAGCTTAGAGAAATACACCTACCCGTCGCAAAGTCTGCATTCAAGCCTAAAACCCATATTTAAGGACTTTAAGGACACTCAGTCCTGCAGTTCTAGACCTGCAAAACCCAAGTATGAAGGCTGGGTTATTTAGTTCCCATGATCCCTCCTACAATCACTTTGGACTAATTAACTAAATTGTCCGTTTTTTCCCGGTGAAATAATGTGAAGTATGGTCAGAAAACTAAAAAAAATTCACATAAACAAGCGACATTTTTATTCCTCCAGACTGATTTGATGTTGATGACAAGGTGCAATTTCCTGCCGCGGCTGTTGCTGCAGTTGCAGTGGGCAGTAACAGCTGTGATGGGTCACAAGCTCAGAGACTTCATGGTGGTGGGTTTAATTCCCTACAGACAGCGTCAGCAGAAGGCTGTATGTGTGAGTCAGTGTCAGTGTTGTTGTCTGTGACTCAGAGGTTTGTTTCCAGGTCTGTTACAGTTTTTAACACCGGAAAAAAGTCAGAAATCAGAACCATGTTCCCGGTAGTTGTCAGAGTGAAATAATGAAACTTTTAAACCTTGGTGTTTCACATTAGGTCTGAGATACTTTATGCATTTTTTAATTGTGATAAATATTTCTTTGTGCAGAAAATGTCCTGACGGGTTTACCTGTCTGAAGGCGGGACGGAATCCAAATTACGGCTACACCAGCTTTGACACCTTTGGCTGGGCCTTTTTGTCCCTGTTCCGCCTGATGACACAGGACTACTGGGAAAACCTTTATCACCAGGTAACACTGACCCGGTCAGCGTCAGTGACTCAGTAAGGATCGTCAGGGAGTTATTCTGACTTGGTACCTGGCTTTAACCCGCAGACTCTGCGTTCAGCCGGAAAGACCTACATGGTGTTCTTCGTAGTCGTGATCTTCATCGGCTCCTTCTATTTAATCAACCTCATATTGGCCGTGGTGGCAATGGCGTATGAGGAGCAGAATCAGGCCACTATTGCAGAGGCGTGCCAAAAGGAGAAAGAGTTCCAACAAGCTATGGAGAAACTGAAGAAAGAGCAGCAGGTGAGTGGAAGTAACTGGGTTTAACAGTTGCTCTGTTTTTGGGGTGTGTTATAGGGACTGCTGTGAGCCTCCCCTGCTGTCCTGTTTCAGTATTTCACCTTAAATTATTAGCCTGTATGTATGCCTTACAAAATGTGTTTTCATTTTTTTTTTTTTTACTATTTTGTTTTACTGTTTTTTTAAATGCTTACTTTATGATGAAAATACTGGAAATTTAAAAAATTTTATATACCGCAAAAACGTGCGATAGAAAAAACATTTTTTTTCAGAGTTAGAAAGCTTTTACTAAGCTATCAAACTCCATAGATGTTTTTAGTAAGAGCTAGACTTGTTCTAGCAGCAGGTGGCGCCCAAAGCATAGTTGGTTCACCATGTAGACATTGTTAGAAAAAATGACTTTCTGTTGTTGTTTGTTTTAATATGAACAGTCCACCGCTCAGAAACCCCTGGAGACAGACTCAATACTGTCCCCAGAACTTTCTCCCTTTGGCCCACCGCTGGACAGCCAGGAGGAGAGGAGACGGAGTCGAGCTTTGGTTGGAGTGGCTGACGTTGAGTCTAATCTATCAGAAGAGAAGCTACTACAGGTGGACATAGCAGAAGCAGGAAAGGTGAGTGTACTGAGGACAACCCTGAACAGGTATTGGGTTTTTTTTTTTCTTCGACGCTCAGTTGACGCCTCCTCCTCCTCCTCCTCATCCCTTAGCCACTCCACCCACTCCTCGCCCGCTCCTTCTCCACGCGGCGAAGCAGTCAGGTGTCTTCCATCTTTAACTTTCGTCTCAGAAGTAGAGGCTCAGATGGAGACATGGCTGATGATGAATATAGTGTGCCTGGGGACGTGGTGGACAATGTTGGTGGTCGTACCTACAGCGGTGGGACCTTCATCCTGCCTTGTGCCTGGCCCAAACGAAGGTCAAGCTCATACAGCACGGCCAGCAGAAGTTCTCAGGTGAGAGGAGGCACACAAACTGATTAACTTCACGTTAAATTTGAACACATTCACACATGGGAACTACCCTGGTGCTGCCTCGTGTGGTCAGTTCATGTAACTCAGGTGACTGTAAACGGGCTTGATGACAGCCTGGCAGAAACCCCACACTCTGCCTTTGGATTTCCTTTAAATAATCCTCCTCGTGTTAGTTTGATGCCTGGGTTTACGACGTGTTTGCTGTGTGTGTTTACGATGTGTGTTTATGATGTGTTTGCTGTGTGTGTGTGTTTGTGTCTCCAGGTGTTCTACCCGTCTCTAAATATCAATGGGAAACTGTTTGTTGCCATGGATCAAAACGGGGTCTCATCGTCACCACTGCAGGGGCAAATGCCTCCCTGTACCATGGAAAAGGTCAAGGAGGAGAGTGTGAGTACTTTATGTCGTGTGTGTGTGAGTGTGTGTGTGTGTGTGTGTCAGTGGAAACAATGGTAAACTCTGTGGTTATCCAACACTCAGACATGTGAATTATGAATCTGTGCTTCATAACTTCAATGTCATATCACTGACCACACACACACACACACACACTGGTATCTACCAGCTGAGATAACAATGCGGTGGTATTCTCCCGTCCACAGTCATGCACACACACACACACACACATACTGTAGAAGCAGAGTTTATAAACAGCAACATTCACTCACACACTGAGTCTATCTTTAGTTTTTCATGTTCTTAATCTGACTGTTTTGAAATCCAATGTCAATAGTTTCTAATTTCAATAGTTTTGTAATCATTTAACATGAGACGTTTTTATGGTTGAATTATGGATAAATTATTGCTACTGCACTTTTTCCAACTTATAACTTCAGTGTAAACTTTTTTCTCTACCTCCATTGAAGCCCAGAGAAAAATCTGGAAAGAAAATCAATAGTTGATCCACTGCTGTGTGTGTACTAATGGTTTGTCTGTCCTGTCGTCAGTGCCGTGGTTAAAATCAGTCAAAAATGTAAAAACAAATTCCAGGGTGCTAATTAGCCACTAGCGTCTTTATAACAGTGATCTAAGAATGTAACAATCTTTATTTTCAAAGGATGTTGACAGTGAGGTGAAGCAGGAAAGACTTTTTTAAGATTAAGGTTTAATTTGGAGTAGATTTTTTTCTTGGTTGAAGATTTTGTAAAGTGACGTTGTCTTTGTCTATTTTCTCATTGACAGCCATGTGTTCTCTGAGCACAGACAAACACCAGGGCTGATTTCCAAGTACAGTGTGTCCTGAGAGTGACCACAACAAACGAGTTCCCCCATTAGTATCATCAAATCAGTAGTAGTATCTTATAGTTTTCCATTTATAGAAACTCAAGTGGCAATCTGAGTCTTTAATTTTAGAGCACACTCAAATACACAGACACAGACGTTGTTGTTGTTGATTGGTTGGTTGGTTGTACACCGTATTTGTTGCTGGGGCGACAGGAACAAGAAGAAAAAGACTCCATCTTGTTTGACCTATTTGACCTCCTGTGTTTGTGCCTGAATGATCGTCTAAACACCACCTCTCTTTTTTTTTTTTTCTCACTTCCTGTTTGTCCCCCCATCTGTCCGTCTCAGGTCCCCACGTCCACCACGGAGCTTAGCACCATGCTGTTACCGCGGCCTTCCTCCACGGCGGAGTTGGAATGCAGAGAGCGGACGCTCAGTGCCGCCAGCTACCTCACTGACGCCATGGAGGGTGAGGGCGCCGGAGATGCTCAGAAACACTGCTGAGCATCTGCTTTTCTTTTTCTTTTTTTTTTAGTATCTTATAGTTTTCCATTTATAGAAACTCAAGTGGCAATCTGAGTCTTTAATTTTAGAGCACACTCAAATACACAGACACAGACGTTGTTGTTGTTGATTGGTTGGTTGGTTGTACACCGTATTTGTTGCTGGGGCGACAGGAACAAGAAGAAAAAGACTCCATCTTGTTTGACCTATTTGACCTCCTGTGTGTTTGCCTGAATGATCGTCTAAAAAACACCACCTCTCTTTTTTTTTTTTTCCCCACTTCCTGTTTGTCCTCCCATCTGTCCGTCTCAGGTCCCCACGTCCACCACGGAGCTTAGCACCATGCTGTTACCGCGGCCTTCCTCCACGGCGGAGTTGGAATGCAGAGAGCGGACGCTCAGTGCCGCCAGCTACCTCACTGACGCCATGGAGGGTGAGGGCGCCGGAGATGCTCAGAAACACTGCTGAGCATCTGCTTTTCTTTTTCTTTTTTTTTATTTCAAATTAAATTTTTTAATGTCACGATCACGACAATGTGCGAGTACATGCAGTAAAGTTGAATATATGTGTGAGATCCATGGGGGATTTTGGTTTTAGTTTGAGTGTTCCTGCGAATTGCAAAGGGACCTTTAAACTGCAAAAACAAGATCATTGCAAGTTTGTCAGTACAGTAGATCTGCTGAGTCACCATCTGTCCTTCCTGGAGTGACTCAGCAAATCATTGAAGCCAATGAAAACCTCCTGCTGTTCACCTTTAAATGTTTCTGGGATATCCAGGCAGCGGTTACATCAGACCAGGCTAGGCTAGGTAAAATAATACCTAAAAACACTGAGCATTTCCTGCATGTGCTATGCTAGGCTAGGCTAATACTATCCTAATGCAATAACTCATAGCTTAAGGTTGGCTATTTAAATCAGGCAAAGATCATTAATATTATAATTTAAGATTGTCTCTTAGTCAACGTTAGGCTATGCTAAAAGTTGTTCAACCCCAAAATGTATTTGAAATGTAATGTTTCTGTGAATGTATGAGATTTTAACATGTATGTTGTTATTTGGACATGACAGAACTGGAGGAGTCCCACAAAAGGTGCCACCCCTGCTGGTATGCCTTTGCCCAGCGGTACCTGGTGTGGGAATGTAGCCCCTGGTGGCTGCGGTTGAAACAGCATGTTAACATCATGGTGATGGATCCTTTCTTGGACCTGGCCATCACCATCTGTATTGTCCTCAATACACTCTTTATGGCAATGGAACATTATCCAATGACAGATGAGTTCAACGGCATGCTCAGCATAGGAAACCTGGTAAGTTTGGAGGAAAGATGGATGGATGGATGGATGGGTGGGTGGATGGATGAAGCTGCTCTATCTGTTTGTGTGGTCGGGTTGTTCCATTGTGGTTAATCCAATTAAATCAGTTTAACTGGAGGCTGCAGTGGATCAAGACTAACATGTGTTGTTATGGAGTCAGACCCTTCCAGTCCCAATAGAGAAAGGCAGTCCAACAAAGAGACAGAGCCACCGGTGTACTGTGTATTCATTGTCATTTCTCAGGAAGGTTCCAGGAACCGCACAGTAGCGCCATCCCTGTGTTGACTCAGTATTCCTGTTTTGCTTGACGTCACCTCCCTGGAGCACAATCACTGGTGTCACGCTAAAGTAAAGAGCTGTGATTCCTCCCGTGAGCAGGAGGTTTCTTTCTCCGTCGCTCTGACGAGTCTCACCTTCTGATTTTTGCGAACATTTCCTGGTGGAGTGCTTACGGAGCATGTGTGAGTGTGAGATAAATACACTCCAGGTGAGTCCAGCAGGCCCAGGCCTGACAGTTGGAGACAAAGTGTTCTAGTACAATTTAAAGAGCTCAGGGTTCCGTGAAAGGACGAACAAACAAAGCTGTGTGTGTGTTTGTCCAGTGGAGACGTGAGATGAGTTGACAAAAACAACGTTGAATCAACTGTAACTGACCGTGACAGAGTCAGGAGATCGGCCCTGCAGGTGGACGCGTGATGAGACAGGAGCGGATGGGTCCGTGCAGGATGTTAATGTGTTTACCTGAGGTTTGTCAGTGGAAAAGGCTGTGAGGTCCAACCTCTGGAGCTGGGCCCTGAGGCAGGGCATAGGAATAAAAATAGAAAAAAAGAAGCATGTTTTATTATTGGCTTTAGTAAAACAAAAGGTGGGTGAAGGGAGAAAAGGTGGAAGGTGAACTTCAGAAAACAAGTGAGGTTAGAAAATACATTTTGGAGGAGAGACTGTAGATTAAAAACACAGGTTATTACTGTAGTGAAGAAATTCAATAATGCTATAATATAAATAAACATTAATGTGTGGTCAGAAAGAGGTGTTCGTTTTATTCCATACGTTTTAACACATGCTCTTATTTATTACAAATTTTCTTTCAATCATCTTTAAACTCTGGCCTTCTGAATATTAATGTCACACAGACACACACAACTCCTCACACACGTTCACATGTTTATCTTGTCATTAATGCTGCATGAGTGTGTTTTATGCAGGCTGGCGTGTCATATCAGGACATTACTGAACTCACTGAATCAATGGCGGCTAATGCTTCCACTTGCTAGCTGCTGTTGTTTGTCGTTGTGCTCTCCATCTTTGCTCTTTGGGTTTCACATATCAATATTACCGCGGCTGTAAATATCTGAAGGATACATAGCATTTAGTGCAGGCTTTTAGCAGTAGAGACTGTGCGCTGTGCTTTAAGTGCAGCCTCTCCTGAGTGTACTTAGCGTCACTGATAGTGGAGAACCACAGTACACTTTGACTTATTCGGCTTTTGTTGGTGACTGTTAATGGCTTGGAATCGTCATGTTTTTTTTTTTCACCCGAATCATTCCAGCCTGGTGACATGAGTCCGTTCCTGTTTATGTTCAGTTCTGCTAATCATTGAGTTCGTGAGCAAAATGTCATTAAACAGCGAGGGCTACGACGTAGCAACTGAGAGGGTTTGGCAGCGTTAGCTACTGCAGAAACACTCACAGTAGATGTTTCATGACTTAGCTGATTAGCGTTAGCTTATGGATGAGTTATCTGTTTTATCCAGCTCTCCTCTGCCTTAAAACTCATAGAGAAAACGTGAGATTTTACCATAACACCCTACATGACTTTTTGATCCAATAGAGAAAATTCTGAGATTTTACTATAACACCCTACATGACTTTTTGATCCACTTCTGTCTCAGCAGTTTGTTTAATTGTGTCAACACTGTCAACAAATTAACATTTTGACTGGGTCCTGACATCATCATCCTGCCCCAGATGAAGACAGGCAGGTGTTGAGGTCATTTGGTGTTTTTTTTTATATATAATTAAAACTTGATCCTGTCGTCAGTTTTACTTTTGTGAGGATGGGTTTGAAAAATGAGGCTTGAAACTGTTTCAATAAAGAGTCTTTGTGCAGGATGACCGAGGAGAAAGTCAGACTTTTACGCACACATTCACAGTCCTTTGCTGTAACCCTTATCTAACTTTGTCAGCACAGTCCTGTCCTTGCTTAGGGGCACTCGGGCAGTCCTACCAAAATAAAAACTCAGGATCTTACAGTGTGTTTTCCAAAATCCCCAAAGGATTAGGAATAGAAAATTTCCCCAAGCCGAGGTTTCGGACCGGAATTGGACCTCTGATTTTTAGATGGTCCACGATCTATAAGTTTGAAATTGAAATTGAATTTGAAATTGAACTCACCCGTAAGTTGGTAAGAATTCTGGAAATTGACTGAACTCACCCGTAAGTTGGTAAGAATTTAAGATTTGGTATCTTCTACGAACTCCTAAACAGTAGCGCTAGTCTTCCTATCGGGATTTGTTGTACAACTCCAGCCAACACAGGAGCTCACTTTGTGTTTGTGTTTTTGTAACCTTAACCCAGTCTGAAGTGTCCTTCCTTATGGCTAACTGTGCCCTTTACTTAACTCTTGTATCTCTCTGTGCGTGTTGATGTACCCGGTGTGTGTGTGTGTGTGTGTGTGTGCTCACTCAGCATCATTTAGGTCTCATTTATCTTTTTAAACTTGACAGTACTTCATCTCTTAAAAGTCATCGTATTAGTCCAACGCAGTTACGTCACGTGTCAGACCTCTGAGCTGAGCGCGTCGGGACAAAACAGTGAAACCTTCTCTGGTTTTTAGTCGTTTTTTAAAGTCGTATATCTGGAGGTTTTTAGCTTGTTTTGCTAAGCGGTAAATCATAGTTAAAAGCTAATGTCAATGTAAAAATATAAGCATAGTTCAGCTGTTGTAGTGACTGAATCCCAGCTAACGCCAAAGCCGTCGTCCATATAATTATACGAGCAACTGCAGATTCAAAGTCCAGTCTTTGCCCCCTGGTGTCCTCCCCAGGTTTAGCACTTCCTGTCCTCCTGTGTTTACTACAAAATTCGGACTCCCTGGTCCTTCCCACCTGTGTCCTCTTAATTCCATCTTCTGTTCCTCCTGTGCCTGTGTGAGTTGAGTGGGATACCATAGTGAAGCTTAGTGACTAGCACTGCTTGTGCATGACCTTGTCTTCTACTAACAAATCAGTCAGGATAAGGTTATGGAGGGTTCATTTTCACTGTTATACACTGACATAAACTAAGTCCAGTTCTGACCAGCGTCTCCCACTCTGACTGATACACTGACATAAACTAAGTTTATGCCGGTTCTGACCAGCGTCTCCCACTCTGACCTGCAGGTCTTCTCAGGAATCTTTACTGCTGAAATGTTGCTGAAGGTCATTGCTTTGGATCCGTACTACTATTTCCAAACGGGCTGGAACATATTTGACAGCATCATCGTTTGCCTAAGCCTCATGGAGCTTGGACTGTCTGACGTGGAGGGTCTGAGTGTGCTTAGATCTTTTAGGCTGGTGAGTCAAAAGATGGGAAAAAAAAAATCTATAAAGTCATCAGTTTAGCGTGTGAATTAATTTTGTATTTGTGTCTCTCTCTTCCAGTTGCGTGTTTTTAAACTAGCACGCTCATGGCCAACTCTTAATACCCTCATCAAGATCATCGGAAACTCCATGGGGGCTCTGGGAAACCTGACGCTTGTCCTTGCCATTATCGTCTTCATCTTCGCTGTAGTTGGTATGCAGTTGTTTGGAAAGAACTACCAGGTAAATGTTCCCGCCAACACCAGGATCAGAATTTGGCTTCAAAAACGATAACTCACCTCCGTCTTCGCTCCTCTCCAGGACTGTGTGTGTAAGATCTCGAAGGACTGTGCCATGCCTCGCTGGCACATGAAGGACTTCTTCCACTCCTTCCTAATTGTCTTCAGAGTTCTGTGTGGGGAGTGGATCGAGACCATGTGGGACTGTATGGAGGTGGCGGGTCAGCCGCTCTGCATCCTGGTCTTCATGTTGGTCATGGTCATCGGGAACCTGGTGGTGAGTTCAGACCTCAGTGAAGTGTCAGTGCCTGTGGGGTGACGGAGATTTAGGAGCAGCCATTTTTGTTATTTTGGAATATTCAACATTCCATATCTGGAGAGAAGCAGAAACATGACTTCAATTTTTTAATCAATATTATTCATTTCAGTTTTTAATTTTTGGCCCGCTGTGAAGAGTTTGACACTCCGATCTAAGGCATCCACACTCAAATTCATAGAGAGAAACAGTGACTGTTGAGTCAACAAAAAAGTTTACGTGTCATATTGTGACCTTCGTAGTTGATCGTGGCAGCAGCAGCTGCAGACCTGTGGCTCCTGCGGCTAAAATCACCGTCTTTCTCTCAGGACTTAGTTCCAAGAGAGGAATCTTTAATTATTTTTTTTCCTCAACTCGTCCTGTCTTGTTTCTCATTACTGGAAGCTTCAGTGTGTTTTCTGTCATGTAGCACAAGTACAATGAACTGCCCCCTCCTTCGCCCTCTGCCCCCCCACATCGACACACACTCACACTCAAACACACCAAGGCAGAGACAGCTCATCTTGCCAGGCAAAAAGAGCAGAGGAAAGATTTCCTTTCTTCTGATAAGTATCCATCATCTCATCTTACTGTGGAACAGACGCAAACACACACACACACACACACACTAATGTACACACACACGCACTCACAGACACTGAGACTCATCTTACCCGCTGTGCTGTAAAATGTTCCTCCAGCAGTGTGAACATGTTGCGTCTGCACCTCCCAACACATCAGTCCATCCATCATAGTGTGTGAGAGTGTGTGTGTGTGTGTGTATGCGTGCGCGTGTGCTCAGTAATTAAGTCCCATTCATCTATTTAGCTTAATGGTCTCATGGAAATTTCATAATGAGCTTGACAGGCCAGACAGCTCCCACAAAGACACACACACACACACACACACACACACACTCACTCTTATCAGCGGCAGGAATTGTATCTTCTCGTCCAGTTTGTGTGTGATGACTGAACCTTTCCAGTTCAGGTGATTTATACCTCAGAAATGGCCTCATTGTAAACACCCCTGACTGTTAGGACGTGTGTGTGTGTGTGTTTGTTAAATCAGAACCAAAGTCCATACAGAAACCAAGTGGTTTTAGCTCAGAGGGAAACCAGAGCTGCTGCTCTCTGGGTGTCTGTTGTGTCCACTCTGTGTCCCTCAGGTCCATGTGGACGGAGGACATTCAATCACAGAAGTAACAAAATGACACCGTCAAATATGTCACCAGGACGTCAGTGGTTCGACAGCTGCTGTGTGCTGTGATGAAAAACTGTTGGTTTTCATCATGGACTTCGGTGGAGTGTTTTCTGTTTGTTTGTTTGTTTTTTTTGTTCTTTTTGCAGTGAGAAGTCAACTTTGTGATCACGGACCAGTAGTCGCAAATAAATGTCGCCTACACCAGCTTTAAGTACAGATAGACGTGTGTGTGTGTGTGTGTGTTATTTCTGTCTGAGATCATCGCACTGACGTCTTTCTAACTTTTACTTTAGAAGCATTTCTTCCACCTCCGTCTGTGTGTGCGCACGCTTGTGTGTGTGTGTGTGAGCAGATGTTCAGTTTGCTGATTATTGTCGTGACAAACGAGCTCCTGAATGTGTTTCCTTGAGTCAGCTCTTTAGCTGCAGCACACCTGCCTCCAGACTCCTCCTCCTCCTCCTCCTCGTCCATTTTTCCATCTTCATCATCATACTTTTCCTTCTCTTCCCTCCTTCCTTTTCTTTTCCCTTTTTTTCTTTACATTTTCCTTGTCTCCACTTTTGTCCTTCTCTGTTTTCCTTGTTTTTGTTTTTGTTCTCCTCCTTCCTGTTCTTGTTCTTCTCCTTCCCTTTTTTTCTAGACTTTATTTCTCTTGTCCTTCCCTTTTTTTCTAGACTTTATTTTATTTTCAGTTGACGTTCAACAGTGAACCTGAGCCTCGCCCGTGTGTGTGTCCACACACCTCCCTCCACTTTCTCATCCGTTCTACTTTTCAGTTTCTATGTTTTGTTTGTGCGCATTGTTGCACAAAACCGTGATTTATAATCAGAGCGATTCTCCCCGTTCCACCTTTCTCCTTGTCTCACCTCTGCTCCTGCTCCTCCTCCTCCCTGTGGTTTCCTGGTTTACCCTACCCTTCCTTCTCACTTGCGATGACTTTTTTCCCATGAGCCTTTGCTCAGGGGGGTTCGCTGTGACGAGGATCATGTTGCAGCTCGTTCATCAGCACCTGCTGTGGTTATTGTCCTTCTTCTTGTGCACGTGTCCTGACGACGAAGCTCCGCAGCTTCCAGGTGTTTCCTCGATTGCCTGAGTTGAACTTTAGCCTCATTCTGTCACGGGAAAAAAACACCAAAAGACAAATGCATTAAAAAGAACTGAAACCTAAAACACAACGCTCGCGTTCACGGTCCCTTTTCTGCTCTCCAGCCTCTTCCATCATCAACATCTCCTCCTCCATTCAGGTTTCCTTTTTCCCTCCTCCTGCTCCTCTTCCTCCTCCTTTTGTATTTTCTTTTTTTCATTCTCCTCCTTCTCTTCATCCTCATCCTGATTTTTTCTTTTGTCAAACTGGGTGAATTAAAACCCAAATTATTGAAGAATGTCAATTTAAATTAAAGCTAATAATTAACTTTTAATCAACTTTTACGCTCTGTTTACAAACACCACCATAAAATGTCTACATACTAAACACGTTTACTGAGCTGAATGTAGCCTCTACTGCCCCCACTGGTGCAGATAAGAACATACGCCCGTGTGGCAGCAGGTTATTGACCAGTGACCAAGGCCAGTCTCTGTTGTCATGTTCCGTCCCTGATGTTATTGTTGTTAGCGTCGGTGCGGTTTCATTTATTGGCTGCAGGAAAAGCAGGAAGGTCATTGGTGGAGCTGTGGGATCATGATCCTGTGTCCAAACCAATCAATGGCATCGATCGATCGGTGGTTGAGTTTGACAGCAGCAGCCAAACACACACCTGTGTTTGGGCAAAGCTGGAGAGGTCACATATAAATTGACAACTACTTCAGTTACACACACACACACACACACACACACACACACACGTGCAGCCTTGTTTGTTATGGACTCATGATTGGTTGTTCATTTCCTCACTGTGGAGTTTGTGATTGTGCAAAAGGAAAACAGGCCAGTGGGTCAATATCCACGACCAGGAAGTGAACTCTGACTCTGTTCCCTGTATGAGTGTGTGAGTGTGTGTGTGTGTGTGTTTGTCAGAGCAATTTAAATCTCTCGTCTTTGTTTCTTTGTTGACAACGGACAAATCTCTTTATTTTTAAATGCGTCTCGGGGAAAAGCCTCAACAGCCCGTCTGCAGGTCTAAGACGGTCATCAGACGCAGAAACCTGCAACCTGATCTGCCTGCCCCAGATCCTGTAGACACACGCACCCAAACACACACACACACACACACACACACGCTCAATTGTGTTTAAACCAATTGGGATAAGAGCAGCTCTCCAGCATAAGTGATGATCTGTAACAGAGGTCTAGACGGTGTGTGTGTGTGTGTGTGTAAAAATAAATTAAAACATATTTTTTTAAATCAGATTAACTTTGAAAAATTCAGATAAGAAGTTTGAGTCGTAAATACCACATACCAATGTGTTATAAGACAGATATGAAGTATTTTGGAGCTTAAAAAAACTGTTTTATTTTCCGTATACTTCAGTGGAGACATATACTGTGTAACGATTCGTAAAATTTCCTTTATTGTTTTGCTAATTATTTTTTAAATGTTTACATTCTTTACTAATACATTGTGTGAAAATACAATATGTATAATTTTACAAAATTAAGTTTAGTGTTTTTTTTTTATAGTTTTTGCTTGTTAATTTGTGATAAAATTACATTTGCTATTATAAAAAAAAAATGTTTTGTGCCCTGATAATAAGTGACATCATGGTGGACGTCAGGTTTTCAGTTCTTCTTCTCTGTCTCTCCCGTTCCTCAGCTGCTAAACCTCTTCCGGGCTCTGCTGCTCAGCAGCTTCAGCTCTGACAACCTCTCAGCACCAGACGATGACGGTGAGATGAACAACCTGCAGATCGCCATCCACAGGATTGGTAGAGGTCTGGTCTGGTGCCGCAAACAGGTACAAGTGTGTCCGTCTCCGTGTCTGTCCGGCCGCAGGTCGCTCTGTCTGTCTGTCTGTCTGTTGTCTGTCTCTCTGTCAGTCCGTCCCTGCGTCCGCCTGTGTGTCAGAGGTACAGGTGATCTGTCAGCTGGTGTAACTGTTCGTGACTCAGGTGGTGGAGTTTTTCAACGGGAGCCTGAAGCGCCGCCGTCAGAAGAGGAAAGAGTCCAAGACCATGATGCAGCTGAAGAGGCTGAGCTCCATCCACACCGAGGTCAACGGCTCCGTCATAGGTGAAGACAGACTCCTCACATCACATCACATCACATCACATCACATCACATCCTGTCACCACTCATTAGAAACACCAGGGGTTTTTAATAAGTTCTGGAATAACCTGAAAAACCAAACATTTTAAACAATGAACTCTAAATAAATCCCTGACATTCAGGTCTAATAATTTAATGGATGGATTTTCTACATTGTGACTGTAAATAGTTTATAAATTAAACACCTGACCAACCTGGGAACGCTGCGTTTACTGTAATAACTGGAGAAACTGCGCACTTAAAAAAAAAGAGAAGAAGCTGGGATTAAATTAACCAAACTTTTATATCAGCAGTTTCATCAGTTCAGGTCGGGGTCAACATCAGTGACCTCTGCCTCTACGTATAAACACATTTTTGTATTCAATGATACTCTGGTATAGAAAGTGTTTTTTTCTCATTCACTCATTGTTAATGCACAACAGTGGAGTGTCCCTCTGGTGGACATTCAGAAGAATACAAGTTTCAAACACACAATGGCATCGCTTTTAGACGACACCCAACTCAAAAACATCCTCTCAGTCGTGTCGTGGGTTTTCCTGCTCCTCCCTCAGGGCGACACGTGGAGAAGTATGTGGCGGCGGACGACAGCTACATGACAAATCCAAACCTGACCATCAGCGTTCCCATCGCTCCAGGAGAGTCGGATGTGGAGTTCCCAGAGGAAGAAGAGGGAGAGGAAGATGGGAGTGATGACGAGGTAGGCGGGAGGAGATCTCATACATCACACAAACACACACACACAAACACACACATGCAGATTAATTGGATGGAAACCTCAGGAAATAACAGCTGACTCACACACACACACACCTGAGTTTGTTAATGTCAGACAGCTGTGTGTGTGTGTGTGCTCAGTCCTAGTCAACCAGGACCTTCTTTCTAAGGCTTTGGTTATAGATAAGGTGCCGAGGTTTAGATCAGTATTTACCTTCATTAGCGACGTCCTTTTTGCACCAGGTCGAAAAACTTTAGTTTTTCAGAACTGTCAGAATCTGCTGGGTCCAGAATGACATTACGGTCCCCGAGTCTTTCGTTACACCGCCTCCCAGAGGTGCTCTGGTGAAGTGTCCTGTGAAGTCACTGCTGCTCAGAATCCGTGGTGAGGTGATTTCACGTCGTGACAAAGTCTGTTCAGAGGTGAATCCACTGAGGATGAAACTGTGCTCAGGAACTCTGCCCACAGCTCCACACCACCACTGAGACCCTGCTGCCCCTCGCTGTCCGGGATACAATAGTGCTGAGCGCCCAAAGATCTGAGAGCCGTACACCTTGGCCAACATCGACAACAAACAAAACTATATATTAAACCATAAATTAAAAAACTTTAGACTCAATAAATCTACGTACTCTACCTTTATAGGCATTAAAATATGTGTTTTAAACAAATATGGCTTTCTAAATGTGTAAAAGTTATTTTATTTACCTATAATAAAAAATAATATAACACTGCTGAATTAACGTCAAGTAAAAATGAAGTTTATGTGAATGGACGGAGACGCGTTCATGTTCAGACAAGAGAAGAAGAAGAAGTGATGTTGTTTTTCCACTTCTCTCTTTCTATCTAACATGAAACGACAGATTTGTGTCACACTGTGTGTGTGTGTGTGTTTGTGTGTGTGTGTGCGGACACACCTGTGTTGCCGACTCAGTTCTTCATCAGCTCTGCTCTTTAATCACGTCCTGCACCTGCTCTCGATCCTTTCTCTTCCTCTGGAGAGAAAAAATTCCAAGTGTTGATTTGGAATCACCACAAACATCACATTAATTTCACCTTTTCATTATTTTTATTTTTATTTAGTTACATATGAAACCTGTATTTAAATATTGGAGCTCCCTTTCAACCTTTTTGGTAAAACATTTTTTTTGTTTTAAGCGAAATTGAACTTTTTCCATACGTCTAATCTTCCTTTCCTAACATTTGTTAATGTTTTAAAAAATATTTTGGCGATTTCCAGGCGCGCCTTCTATATTTGAATCGACTGAATCTGCAGCTTTTCTCCACGTTTGACTTGTCTTAAATAGCCAAAGACACTGACGTTGCTATGGAAGACTAGCTGGACACATTCTGCACACTTTTGCATTAATCACCTGGAAATTTAGCAGGAATATAAAAACCCCTCCTCCCGGGGTATTTCCAGATGTTTCTGTGCCTGCTTTGTTCGTTTCTCTGAGGCTCTAACTGACAGAGTGGCCCACACGTGGTGAACAGCGTGGAAAGAGTCCGCGTGTGCGTTTTCTGCCATGACTAATCGACATTGGCTGCTTTTGTTTTTGTTAGATATGTATTATTTTGACGTCTTAATTATTCACACGTAGCTTCCTCCCGTTCTCGCAGACACAGCAACAAAATGCAAATAATGAAAAGATCTTTTTTTTTTTTTCTTCTGGTTTGAAACAGTGTGCGTTAGTCAGCGCGTGACCTAGATAGACACTGAAGTAATGTTCCTACAGGACGCTGCTGCTGCTGCTGCTGCTGCTGCTGCTGCTGCTGCTGCTGCTCAGTCCTATGCTGATTCAGCAGTTCTGGCTGCAGTTCCATCTCTCCCTGTGAATGTGCAAACCCTTCTCACATGAAATGGATACTTCAGGATCATGTGAAACCATACCTCCAATCAAGCGGGGACACCAGAAAAAAGGCTAATTTTAGCCTCAGAACAAAGTCACATCTCCTGAAGTCTAAAGTCTACCAGCTTTGGTCAACTGTATGAGAATGTTAAGAAGTTGTTGAGCAATTTATCTCACAGTTAGATTGAAAAAAAACCCAAGAATCTTGTTAACCACTTTTTCTCTCACGCCAAATTCCATATAGAAAATCAGTCATTTTAGCTCACCAGGGCACAGCAGCTGCTGGTCGTCTGCTGCCCCAAGTGGTCTGTTTGTGTAAACCCCAAAGAAGACTTTTAAGCATTAAAGAAAGAATGTGGGAACTCGCTACAAAAGACGTGCAATGTCAAAAACTGAAAGTTTTTTTTTTTTTTTGATGTCAAAAACTGAAAGTGATTTTTTCTTCTTCTTTGAACTTTAGTCCACGGACACAGTTTTTTTAAAAATCCCTCTTTAAATTAAAACGACAGATTTTAAATCGTGGAAGACAAAAATGCCATTATGAAATTAAGACATTTAAAATAATAATAATTGATATTAAATAAATAAAATTTGAGACGGTGAACATATGAGCAGAAAGAAATTCTTCCAGTTTTGATGACGGAAACTTCTTAAATCAGCCTCGTATTAAGGCAGTGTCCTGCAGGTGTCAATTCTCTCTCTCTCTCTCTCTCTCTCTCCCTCTCTCTCTCTCTGTCACACACACACACACAGCTCTTTTGTGTGAACGTTATTTTTGGATCCCAAACAAACGGCAGTAAATAGAAGCTGTTAAGCCGCTGCAGCCCGTGGTTCTGATGTAGCACATGTTTGGTTATGTAATGAGTAAATAGCTGACCCCGGCTTTAATGGTGTCCATAAATCAGTGGCCATGGTTTTAATGTCCCATAAAGCTGGAATCAGTAGACAGCTGGTCAGAGGTCGAGGGTCAAGAGTAGTGTTTACACTGGCCCTCGTTAAAAAGTTGAAGACAGACGGACAGAGACGCAGACGTCTGAGATTCTCCTGTTAGTTTGTCTGTTTTTTTACTTCCTGTTATTTATCTATCGTCATGGTTTTGTTTTCTCTACTTAACTATTGTCCATAGAATTGATTTGTCAGAAAAAGTTTAAGTTTGGTAAACAAAACTTTTCACTTTTCTCTTGCTAACTTCTGACTCTGAGTTCTCTTAAGCCCCTCTGGGCTAAAGCTAATTTAAAATATTTAGGTGTTCAATAAAAATTTGAATTTACCTAAAATAAATGTTGCAAAATATTTTAAATATTTATAAATGAAATATTATAGAACATATGTATAGGATTCATGACATACTAATTATTTCACATTCCATTTTTCTTACTCTAACATTAAACCTGCAGTGTTATAAACACCTGGTGACTTTGCTGGGCCTGTGTGTGTGAGTGTGTGTGTGAGTGTGTGTGTGTGAGTGTGTGTGTGTGTGAGTGCCTGTCATCTGCTGCAGCAGCTGCACTTTGATTTTTTGACTTCAAAACATCATAAATGCACAGATACACAACAAAACAAGGTACAACTACACAAACTGTGGCGTGTTAGACGAACACAAGGTCAAAGGTGTCA